ATCTATGACACTTATCTATCTAATCTTAAACTCTTAAACTCAAAATAAATTAATAAACTCTAAACTTAAACTCTCTAAGACTAATTTAATCTTATAAACTCTAAACTCATAAACTCTCAATTCATAAACTCATACTCTTATAAACTCTCATAAAACTATTAAACTCATAAATGAATAAACTCTGGACACTTACTCAATTAAACTTATAAACTCTAAACTCATAAACTCTAAATTCACACCATAGCAACCAGTTACAGCACCCTAGCAACCGTAGGCCATAGGCACGAGGCCGCAGGCCTCGTGCAATACTAAATATTGCTGATTTCTTAGAAACTTGTAATGTACCACATTTGAAGAGGCTGACAGGCTCTGTAAGAAAATACCTCACAGTGGGGGAATAGTTGCACCCCTGGGGGGCAGGAGCGGCCCAAAATTGCCCCATTGACTTACATGAAATGGGCCATCCTACACATTGCATTAGGGTTTTATATTGAACATAGCTCTGGATCACAGTGTCATAGAGACAAGGGGGCGGGCTCATTTTACTCAGACGACCAATCAGTCTCTCAGGATCATTGTGAAGCTATCAAGCCACGCCCTAGCAACTATTTAAGCACCTTAGCAACATATCCCATAGACTTGCACAGAAAGAGATCGAAGGGATATCTCCGGATACAAGTGTCATAGAAACATGAGGGTGGTCTCGTTTGACTCTGGGTAGCAAAGAGCCAACCATGGATCACCTCAACAATTTCTGGCCACGCCCTAGCAACAATTAACGAGCACCTTAGCAACCAAATTTTAAAGAGGGATATCTTCCATTCTGAATGTCACAGAGTCATGAGAGTTGATTTATAGTGACAAGCAGCCTTTGGAGATTCATCGCTGGCAGCTGCCAAGCCACTCCCTAGCAACTAAACAGAGTACCCTAGCAACCATTAAGCAACATTTATATCTCTGCATCAGAACAATGTATAGAGATGGGGTTGGTTTAAATCATTCATACTGACAAGCAGCCTTTGGAGTTTCATGATTGGCAGCTGTCAAGTCAATCCCTAGCAACCAAAGAGAGGACCCTAGCAACCATTTTTTAACAGCTATATCTCAGCATCAGAACATTGTATCGCGATGGGGTTTGGGTCTTTTGACTCAGGCTAGCACACAGGACTTTCAATATGCTAAACATGCTAGCTGTGAATAGCTAAATGCTAATATGGATACTTTATAGTAACCATATGTGAACACTACCAACCAAGTAGCAATACCATAGCAACCACCCAGGACACCCTAGCAACCACCTAGCAACACCATAGCAACCACCCAGAATACCCTAGCAACCACCTAGCAACACCATAGCAACCATCCAGAACACCTTAGCAACTACCTAGCAACACCCTAGCAACCACCCAGAGCACCCTAGCAACTGCCTAGCAACACCATAGCAACCACCCAGAAAACCTAGCAACAACCTAGCAACACCCTAGCAACCACCAAGAACACCTAGCAACTGCCTAGCAACACCCTAGCAACCACCAAGAACACCCTAGCAACTACCTAGCAACACCCTAGCAACCACCCAGAGCACCCTAGCAACTGCCTAGCAACACCATAGCAACCACCCAGAAACACCCTAGCAACACCTAGCAACACCCTAGCAACCACCAAGAACACCTTAGCAACTGCCTAGCAACACCCTAGCAACCACCAAGAACACCCTAGCAACTGCCTAGCAACACCATAGCAACCACCCAGAACACCCTAGCAACCGCCTAGCAACACCATAGCAACCTCCCAGAACACCCTAGCAACTCCCTACCAGCACCATAGCAACCACCATAGTAACTCTATCTATCTATCTTCTATCTATCTATCTATCTATCTATCATCTATCTATCTATCTATCTATCTATCTATCTCTCTAACTCTATCTATCTGTCTCTTTCTAACTCTATCTATCTATCTATCTATCTATCTATCTATCTATCTATCTATCTATCTATCTATCCTATCTATATATCTATCTATCTATCTATCTATCTCTCTAACTCTACCTCTATCTATCTATCTATCTATCTATCTATCTATCTATCTATCTATCTAAGTTAAACTTAATTTAAACTTTAGACTAATTTAAACTTCAAACTACTTTAAACTTCTTCAAACTACTTTAAACTTCTTCAAACTTTCTGTTCCAAACTTTCACAAGCCAACTTAAAGTTTGTCTCGACGAACTTTTTAATCTAGTTATTATTATTCTTTTTCTGAGCGGAAAATTTTCTGACTCTATCTCCTCCTAGAGCTTTAACTCCACATACTCCAAACTCGGCACGGACACTCAAAGTGTTCTGACTTAGTGTGCTATATCTTTTCTAACTGATCGGACTTACGGTTCTCCTAAAAATGACGATCAAAGTCGGAAAAAACTCCCATTGACTCCCATTGAGAAATTCAAACTGCCCAACTGTCAAAATTTCAAATCTAAATACCTTGAAGCCCCAGACTCAATCAAACTGCCATTCTATACACTATATGAGCCATTGAAACTCATTCAAACTAATGAACTCATCAATCTATGACACTTATCTATCTAATCTTAAACTCTTAAACTCACAATAAATTAATAAACTATAAACTTAAACTCTCTAAGACTCATTTAATCTTATAAACTCTAAACTCATAAACTCTCAATTCATAAACTCATACTCTTATAAACTCTCATAAAACTATTAAACTCATAAATGAATAAACTCTGGACACTTACTCAATTAAACTTATAAACTCTAAACTCATTAACTCTAAATTCACACCATAGCAACCAGTTACAGCACCCTAGCAACCGTAGGCCATAGGCACGAGGCCGCAGGCCTCGTGCAATACTAAATATTGCTGATTTCTTAGAAACTTGTAATGTACCACATTAGAAGAGGCTGACAGGCTCTGTAAGAAAATACCTCACAGTAGGGGAATAGTTGCACCCCTGGGGGGCAGGAGTGGCCCAAAATTGCCCCATAGACTTACATGAAATGGGCCATCCTACACATTGCATTAGGGTTTTATATTGAACATAGCTCTGGATCACAGTGTCATAGAGACAAGGGGGCGGGCTCATTTTACTCAGACGACCAATCAGTCTCTCAGGATCATTGTGATGCTATCAAGCCACGCCCTAGCAACTATTTAAAGCACCTTAGCAACATATCCCATAGACTTGCACAGAAAGAGATCGAAGGGATATCTCCGGATACAAGTGTCATAGAAACATGAGGGTGGTCTCGTTTGACTCTGGGTAGCAAAGAGCCAACCATGGATCACCTCAACAATTTCAGGCCACGCCCTAGCAACCATTAACGAGCACCTTAGCAACAAAATTTTAAAGAGGGATATCTTCCATTCTGAATGTCACAGAGTCATGAGAGTTGATTCATATCATTCATAGTGACAAGCAGCTTTTGGAGATTTATCACTGGCAGCTACCAAGCCACTCCCTAGCAACTAAACAGAGTACCCTAGCAACCATTAAGCAAGATTTAGATATCTGCATCAGAACATTGTAAAGAGAGGGGGGTTGGTTTAAATCATTCATACTGACAAGCAGCCTTTGGAGTTTCATGATTGGCAGCTGTCAAGCCAATCCCTAGCAACCAAACAGAGTACCCTAGCAACCATATTTTAACAGCTATATCTCAGCATCAGAACATTGTATCGCGATGGGGGTTGGGTCTTTTGACTCATGCTAGCACACATGACTTTCAATATGCTAAACATGCTAGCTGTGAATAGCTAAATGCTAATATGGATGCTTTATAGTAACCATATGTAAACACTACCAACCAACTAGCAACACCATAGCAACCACCCAGAACACCCTAGCAACCACTAGCAACACCATAGCAACCACCCAGAATACCCTAGCAACTGCCTAGCAACACCATAGCAACCACCCAGAACACCCTAGCAACCGCCTAGCAACACCATAGCAACCACCCAGAAAACCCTAGCAACCGCCTAGCAACACCATAGCAACCATCCAGAACACCCTAGCAACTGCCTAGCAACACCTTAGCAACCACCAAGAACACCTTAGCAACTGCCTAGCAACACCCTAGCAACCACCAAGAACACGCTAGCAACTGCCTAACAACACCATAGAAACCACCCAGAACACCCTAGCAACCGCCTAGCAACACCATAGCAACCTCCCAGAACACCCTAGCAACCGCCTAGCTACACCATAGCAACTTCCCAGAACACCCTAGCAACTGCCTAGCAACACCCTAGCAACCACCAAGAACACCCTAACAACCACCTAGCAACACCATAGCAACCACCCAGAACACCCTAGCAACCGCCTAGCAACACCATAGCAACCTCCCAGAACACCCTAGCAACCGCCTAGCAACACCATAGCAACCACCAGAACACCCTAGCAACACCCTAGCAACCACCAAGAACACCTAACAACCACCTAGCAACACCATAGCAACCACCTCTCTAACTCTATCTGTCTCTTTCTAACTCTATCTATCTCTCTAACTCTATCTATCTATCTATCTATCTATCTATCTATCTATCTATCTATTTATCTATCTATCTATCTATCTATCTATCTATCTATCTATCTATCTATCTATCTATCTTTAAACTAAGTTAAACTTAATTTAAACTTTAGACTAATTTAAACTTCAAACTACTTTAAACTTCTTCAAACTAATTTAAACTTCTTCAAACTTTCTGTTCCAAACTTTCACAAGCCAACTTAAAGTTTGTCTCGACGAACTTTTTAATCTAGTTGATATCTGTAATTGTATTTTCACTAGTAAAATGACAGTGATTCATTCATTTGCTCCACAACAAACAACCAAAACAAAAATCGTTCACAAAGTATTCACTTCCAAAACTTAGATCTCTGTGTCCATGCTGAACTCCTTGAACAGCGAAGAGCCAACTAGTGGTTTGTGGCAGGAATGAACTGCAGGTACTTTCTACAGATATTTTGTTATTAGTTAGTGTTTATTTAGTCTAATTCAGAGCAACATTTTCATACATTAAGCAAAGGTATTAAATCACTTATGACTATATGCTAAATGACTAAATTATTGTGTATAGCTGTATAAAATCTATTTGAAGTGTAAAATCTGTAGGTCTGTATAAAAACAAGGGAAATTGAATATATCAATGAACATAAAAAGCAAAAAATAAAGTGAAACAAATTATAAAAAATACAGTAACAATAAACCTAATGTATATGCAAAAAACAGGTTTAGACAGGAGTATATATTTCAGAAAGTAAAGAAATGAATTTTACCTGAAACATTTTTATAACATTAAAAAATTTTCATTTTTGATTATTATATAATGGTATTTTAGAATAGACTGGAATTGAACAATTTTAAGATATTAAGACAGGGATTCATTTGTTTTATGTTACACACAAATGCCTAAAATTATAGACTAATAATGATTAGAAAAGAACAAAAGTTGCCTTGATAAAAAATAGCGCCTTTCACATGTAATTTCACAATACAGTATTTTAGAGAAGGCAAGAGTGCATGCAGCCAATTGTCATTTCTTTGCTCTCTATTTTTACCCCTGGAATTTCATGTTAATCCAATTTACATCACCAAATACATTTTCTACAAGATTTTATGAATTACATTTTCTTGTAATTCTGCCAACCTCTCTTTGGCATCAAGAAACACCTTTTACAATTCAAATAAGCATGATATACAGTGCCCTCCACTAATATTGGCACCCCTGGTAAATATGAGCAAAGGCAGTGAAAATATATTCAAAGAATTCACAAAATTCTAATTTTTCATTAAAGTAAAACAATAGGGGGAAAATCTCATTGTGAAATAAATAGTTTTTTTTTCTAGTTTACGTCGAGCAAGCAAAGTGCAAACTCATTTGGTGATGATAGCAACAGCTTTCTTCATCCAGGCATTGTTATTGAGTAGAGAGAGCATGAAACGAGCCACATCTCCTCTTGACACAGACTGGCCGATTGGCAGACCATTTTCATCAGGGACATAATAACCTTCGTGTGTGAGGAACTCATTGGCTTTGAAAAGAATGAGAAAAATTTACACAAATGTAACAAAATACAGAAATGCAATTTGTGAAAATCTAATAGATTTGAAGCAAAGGCAAATTTCTCAATAAGCATTTTACCAGTGGTGGACAAAATAAACAAATCAAGTACTTGAGTAAAAGTACAGATATTTTAATAAACTATTACTCCTTTTTTTTTCATTTTAAAAAAGTATGTGATTTTGTAATGTACTTAAGTATTAAAAGCAGGGCTCCAAACCGGATCAGAAAATATCAGAATTAATACATAACACCACCAAACTAATAAACACATTATTAAAAGCAAACTAAAGGTGTCACTGAGTTTAAGAGATGATTTAAATGTAGGGGATGATCTGATGGAAAAAAAGTAAGGTAAGTTTAAGGAAAAGGGCAAGTTCTATTTAATATTTTAATTTGGCAGTGAACCAATCATGAATTCAAAAAGTAGACGTCCTATTAATACAAATGTGACGTTGATGCATCCAACATGAGTGAAATGCCCGTACTCAGCTGTCAAATCACCATTTAAGTCGATACACGCGGATAGCTCAAAATGCGTAGAGATAACACGCCACCTGACTCGAAAGTGGCGTATATGTTTAAGCAAAAGTCATGATGTCATGTTGAAATATCAGAAAATCGTCTGAATGGATTTGAAAACGGTAAAATTCAACTGTTTAACTCTGGGGGAGTTGTAAAATGAGCCTATTTCCAAAAAAAAAGTGGAGTATCCATTTAAGGTTCATGTATTAAACATTAGTTAATGTATCAATTTCCATACTTTTCCATACTCCTACTGCGTGGGAACCCAGTAGTTCACAAACAACTGACAGTCATGCCATAAATACAATTTTAATTTACAATAATACATTCTAAAATTCAGCATTAGTAAGCTCCAAGGACCTCAAGTTCTTGGCTCATTTTGAGTCAGACTTGTGAATTCAGTGAATTGCTAACTGGAGTCTCGCTTTGACCAGATCATATGAATCTGTGAATTGTCAACTCATGCAGTCGGATCGGTTCAATTGGTCATTGAGATTTAACAGGTTAATTAAAAAGAATCAGCTCATTCACAAATCGGACACCGCTCTTGCATCTCAGAGCAGGTGATCATTTCTTCAGTTCAAAATAGCAAGGAATGTTTATGAAATGTAGCGAAGTAAAAGTTTCCCTAAATAAAAATACTCTGATAAAAGTACAGATGTACTTAAGTACAGTAAATAAGTAAAAATACTTACCACTACAAAAATACTTACCATTGTAAGTTACAATACTTAAAAATACTTCCACCACTACATTTTACCCGTTACTTAATGTAACAACAATCGAACAAAATCCATACATTGATTAAATTTTAACTTATATCAAAATTTGTTTTATTATAAATCCCACCTGTTGTTGGTGTATTCTTGAGGCCAGGAGGCCGGACAACAGTCCAGTTGATGTCATCAGTCTGCTTAAGAAAGTTTTCCATTTCATACATGTTGTTCAGAACGCTTCTAATCATGGGAAGCAACATGAAGCGGATGAGAAAGGAAGAATTGGAGCCTGAATTAGCTGTGAAGAGTATCATAACAGTCCAATTACTATAAAAGATAACCAATCAGACCAAAAATACTTTGTAAAGTAAAGAATAGGGGTGCAACGATACCCTCATGTCACGATTCGATACACATCATGATACTGAACTCACAATACGATATTATTGCGATACTCCAAGTGGTAAAAAGGTTAATGAAAATTTACTGTTGATTAAAATGCTAAATATTGGGGTGGAAATGAATAGGCTTGGATTTGGTGCTGGTAACCCAATGCACAGGGCAATGGTGACACCAGAATACAAATATTCATGATTCTGAAGCTAAAAACAGAATTATTTTAGACAAATATCCTAGTCATTGACTACATATATATTTAAAACAATGTAGGCCACTTTTAACTGGGAACATCAGACATTTGAAATTATCAGGACCCACAAATATTCCCCCTATAGCATTATTATACATTATATACAACATTATAGTAGTTTAATGTAGTACTGTCTGACACTAAGGCTCAATCCCAATTCACCCCTTGGCCCTACCCTTGTTTTCGAGTGTACCCCTAGCCCCTTAAAACAGAGTTACAAGGGCCAAGGGGTTGAAATATTCCCCTAAGAAATCGAACAACCCTTCATGAACCTGATACGTTATCAGTTGTCGGCGATGGCTCTGTCGTTACGGAGTTTTTACAGGATTACTCCATGACAACAACTGACAATCAGCGCAGCTGCTGAGGAAACATGATGTTTATAACATTCCTTTCTTGAAATGTATGTCTTTTCTGATTCGTAAAGGAAAGGTAATTTATTATACAATTTCTTAATTTAAATGACTATAGTATTATTATAAGAGTAAATAAAGTGCATGGTGTTGTCATCTGGCATCGTGTTTCACCGTTTGCAAAGCCATCTCGCCGGTGATTTGCAATGTATTCTGCAAACTTTCTCGTAGCCCTCCGTTTAGAGTGTGCCTCTAGAAAAATCTTCGTTTCGAGGGCTATGTAGCCCTACCCCTCGATCTCAACAAGAGCTGGGACACCCTACCCCTAAACAATTTTTATAAAGTGAACTATGCACAATACAGATTGCATTTTTTAATTATGATATATTGTGACACGATATATTGTTACACCCCTAGTAAAGAACTTTCAGATTCATGCACCTGCAAATAATAACAGCACTTACGGTCAGTGTACCATGAGGTCATGGTGATGATTCGATTCACTTTGGCATCACGCATAGCATTTAAAGCTGCCGTCATAGACTGGGTGTAGCCAGTGATTCCATAAAAAAATGAGATTGGAAAGCCAAGACAGGACAACACAGCATCCTGGCCTTTGAAATGCGGTTTCAGGCTGTCTTCAGAAAAAATGTCTCCCTTAACCACCTATCACATGAGGGCATGCAATTAAACAAGGTTACATGGTTATGAGGTCCCATGCTAGTTGTAACTACAAAGTAGCCACTGAAAATCTACTCTTGAACACATGAAGTATTATCTTCAGTGGCAGCTTCATGGTGTTAATCATATCAATGTAGCAATGCTGTGCCTGGATAACTGTCCATAAAATACTTTCTGCACAACCCATAAATCAATCACATTCCTTTTTTTATGCCACCCTTGTGACGTTATGCTAAATTTTACATACAAAAACTCATTAAAAAGTTCACATTGAACCTTGGTGACTTAGAAATCCTTACTTTTATTCAAATTATAAAGTAGGTAAGAAAGGAAATGAGAGCTAATGAGTTTATCTAAATACTTTGGTAACACTTTACAATAAGGTTCATTAGTTAAAATTAACTAAGAATGAACAATACTACTTCAGCATTTGTTAATCTTTGTTAGTGTTAATTTCAACATTTACTAATACTTTATTAAAATCTTGTTAACATTAGTTAAGGCACTGTGAACTAACGTGAACAAACAATGAACAGCTGGATTTGTTTTAACTAAAATTAACAAAGATGAACAAAAACCGTAACAAATATTGCTCATGGTTACTTCATGTTAGTTAATAGATAACTAATGTTTAATAAAAGAACCTTATTGTAAAGTGTTACCAATACTTTATATAACAATAATACATTATGTATAATGCTTTTATACATCCTTTCAACATTTATCATGGTGGAAATCTGAGACAACTAAGAAAGAAATTAGAACAACTCGGACTATATACTCATACTTTATGTAAATACATTGTAAAAGTAAGATATGCTTTGGTTTGTCATGAAGGGCATTGTTAAATGAATTTAGTTGCATTTGAGATTGTGGATTTGCACTCCTTTACACCTGAAAGCAATTCGATCAAATGTAGCGTAAAATAATTCCTAATTTTCATCATGCCATTAAAAAAAAAAAAAAACAATAATAACGTTTAAAATGAAACTTTGAAATTCTTACATGTTTATCCTATTATTTACCTTGAGGTTCTCGTGTGTTACAGTCAGTTTTTCCGGGTTTCTGACGACGGCTGTGACGGAGTGTCCTTGCTGAAGAGCCTGGTTCACCAGCTGCTGTCCGGTTTGACCAGTCGCGCCAAGTACAGCAATCTTCATGTTTAATCAAGACAAAACCTTGTATTCATGCAAAAAGAAAACTAGTCAAATTACCTCAGCTATAACCCACCAGAGAAGGGCTAAAATATGCATAGGTAAATTTTGCGTATATGGTCTTCTGTCTGTGATATAACGTTAACCAGCTTATCAAACGTCCGGAAATAACATTTGATATCGCAAGACTCCTCCTCAATTAAGGACAACAAAAACAACATTAAATAGCTGCGGATACAACTGAAAGTGTGTAAGGAAATGAAAGGAAATTAATTTGTAAATCATCTGAAGAATTTGAGCATCAGCAAATACAACACCGTTTAAAGTAATATAGCTACCTCTAAAATCGCTCCTGTTGATGGGGGTGGCCAAGCAACGGCAAACACGTGCAAGCGCTTCCTGCTGTCAAACATAACTTAGGTCAAACAGCTGCTGATATAACCCTCACCCTTGAGGACTTTAGTGCGCATGTGCATTGCGAGTACTTTACGCAAGAGTCCTGAAAAGCATGTTTTGCCAAAAAAATAAAATAAAAAAGTAAAATTAAAATAAATACATAAGTTAGGCTACAGTCATTGTGATATATGACACTGTAATAAAATTACGTATTATCCTATCTTTAAAAAAAGAAAAAGAAAGAAAGAAAGAAAATAAATTGTAGCAAAAAGAAAAAAATATTGAATCAATGGTATTAAAAATGTATTAGATTAATAAAAATCAAATTTATTTATATGTTGGGCAGTTTACTCGCATTCTTTTTTTTCCTTGCTCCAAATAATTTTTTGTAAAAACTTATTTTTAAGCATGAATAAGTCATATGAACAGTGAAGTGCTGTTTACCGTCGCAGGCAATAGGCGCGCTATTAATCCCAGAAAGAGCTCAGCAGCCTTTGGACACTGAAACCAACCAGCTACGATATGCCTGCCTTTGATTTCACACCATGTTTCACACACGGTGGACACCACCCCTTGTGGTGAAAGTGTTACTGTCACAACAATCACAGTTCCTTGTTTTCAATTACAGAAGTTGGGCAGTTTGAATAACTCTTTGGTTTCGCTTATTCAAATGTCGCTATCAAGAAACAGAGACAGAAGTGTTCAGCATTCACCATGAAGCTTCAGATTTGTCTATTTTTCGCCGTGACCTTTTTCTGCGTATCGACAGCTGATTTCTCTCCTCCAGTGGTGAACATCAGTCTGGACGTGCCCGCAAATCAGAGATGGGCTCCTCTGAAGAACCTCTATGACATTAATTTCTTGAGAAAAGCTGCATCTGATGTGATCGAGTAAGTATCGATACCGCACGCGCGCACAAAAGAAGGTGCTTTCGATGGTATTCTTGCGATTTTGACAAGACTTTTGTTAGCCATAAGATAATTTCACCTACCTGGCGAGTTGAAAAAGTTTACACACAAAATTTGTAATCACAGACCAGCAAATGTTTAAGTTCACAAAGCATAAATACATGCAAACATGAATCACGTGGTTAAAGCGCTGCTAAGAAGGCATTCCTCTCCTTTTATTCACAAATTACAATCGTTATGTCACTTAACGTTACCTGTTGTTTACTTTGTAGATCTTTGTGATCTTTTGGGAAGTTTAGTCATTGTTTGTCATCATCATCCCAAATCCACAGCATATCTATGTCTTGTGTGTTCTTCTGCAGCTCTACTGTTCCCAAATGGGTTCATGTTGCAATTAAACCTATAGTGAATGCTCTGGAGAAATACATCCCACAGCCGTATGCTGGAGAAATACAGGGCATGGCATCATTCTATGGGACTGACATCTCGGATATTGTGCTGCTGAACTTTGCCTATGAAGTATCTGCGTAAGTAGTGTATAGGAACTGTTGAACTTTTCTGAATTTTTTGGTACAACACTTTTGAAAGCTGTCAGCCTCTTTTCAACATTCATTATGGTTGGGTTTTTTTTTCCAGGTTTTGCACCAGTATTGTAACTCAGGATACAAAGGGAAATATATACCATGGCAGAAACCTGGACTATCCCCACGATGTGCTCAGAAATCTAACTCTAGATGTACTTTTCATGAAAAATGGAAAGGTAATGAAGTGATTATGTTTTATATTTGTATAATGTTTTATTAACAAAGTTTGGGATGAACACGTCCAAAAGATCCATCGGTCACACTTTAGATTAGGCTCCAATTCTCACTATGAACTCATTATTAACTACAACTTTTGGCTCAGTAAACTCCTCCTAAACTGCTTATTAAGGTAGTTGTTAAGTTTAGGTATTGGGTAGGATTAAGGGATGTAGAATATGGTCATGCCTTAATATGTGCTTTAAGAGTAATAAACAGCCAATATCCTTGTAATATGCAAGCTGATAAGGAACTAGTTAATACTTAGAATAGCTGTGTTTCAGTCACATGATTATGATGACGCGCAAAATTCAGATGGAGGGCAGGGAGTGAAGAGTGCAATGGACGAGATGGAGGAAAGTCCGTACTGTACTACTTTACACGCTATTACAAGAGAAAGATATGAACAAAAAATCAAACATATGTTGGATGTGATCCTTATTACACTTTTACATTACACTTTACACAAACATAGCCACTTAAGTTGTATTAACTCACCTTTGACAAAGTGATCACTACACACATGGGCATTTTCCCATTCGGCTCCCCCCGACCGCAGACGTAGGTTTGCAAGCCATTTTTCCGGAGTTTTTCAGACAATTTCTTGCATTTTCCACAGCTTTTGGTACACGATAAAAACTCCTTGTGGTTTGATCGATTCAAGTAACCATAAATGACTCAAAACACAGGCATTTTGATTTTGTTATAGTGCTTTCTAAATACAGCAAATCACTTCCTGCCCTCCATTTGCATTTCGCGCCATGGCAACGCAGTGGCGTGACGTCATATGAAACCCAGCTATTGTACGCTAAACTAAAGTCTTCCCGGGCAATCAGCATGAGAAGAGACCTAAATTTATAAAGCCGACTCACCTACGTTCCTCAACCGTTTTCTGCATCCTTCCGCCACTATTGGCTGGCTCCTATCTATCCTAGCCAGGGATACGAGGAAGCACTCTTGGTTCGGGCCAAAATCCGAGCTTGGATCCATCCTGTCAGCACGCCAAATACGCATTCTCTTTTACTCTATCTGATTATTTCATGAATATTATATTCTGAAATTTGTTTGTCGACAGGTGGCCTACAGAGGAACCACTTTTGCTGGTTACGTTGGGCTGTGGACTGGACAGAGTCCCAACAAGTTTACAGTGTCTGGCAATGAACGCAGTAGGTTTGATTTGTTTGTTTTTAAAAGAGATCATCTAGTGAATTTTACACAGATTTTATTATGTCTGTATTTCCACAGATAAGGGACATTGGTGGGAGAACATAATTTCAGCCATTTTATTAAAAAGTTCTCCGGTTAGCTGGCTAGTACGAGAGGTGAGAGAACACATATTACAAATAAATATTTAACTGAATATTGAATCTTTTTTGACTTTGCATTGAATTTGATTCTCTTCAGACTCTTGAAGCAGCTGTGGATTTCCAGGATGCGGTAGTGAGGCTGGCCAAGGTGCCGATCATCACTGATGTTTATTACATTTTGGGTGGTGTTCATGCGGGTGAGGGTGTGGTCATTACCAGAGACAGGGGAAGATCAGCTGACATCTGGCCCCTGGATACACTTCATGAAAAGTAAGCACCAACCATCATTTTTAAATGATTAAAAAAATATTAAAATAAAAGGCAAAAGTGATGACAATGCTTCAATAGGCTTCCATTTGACCATGTTATATACTGCTAGTGATTTCCTGAAAGTGTTAACATTACTAAACCTGTGATTTTGACTGTTGCTTATTTAGCTGGTATAGAGTTGAAACAAATTATGACCACTGGCTACCCACCCCTAAACGAGATGACAGAAGGCAAGCAGACAATTCGTTTTTTTTATCAATAATAAGAGAGCATAAATGAGGGATTATTTACAAAGCATTGTTCCTCACATTTCCTGGTCTTTTTTTACTTCATATTTTAGAGATGTGGCAATGAAAGCATTAAATTCTACGGGTCAAAACCATATTAATATGGATTCCCTGTATGAGGTAAATGAACAAATCCATTTTGGCTGCTTATTATTGTTGTAGGTTATGGCATTTACTTCTGTTCTACAGTTGTTAATGTACCATAAAATGTGCGTGTATAAATGTTTTCATTATGCATTCAATCATTTGAAATTTTTGCTGTTGGAAATCAAAAAGATTTTCTTTAATGATATTTGTGTTTTTTGATAGTATGTACTTTCATTAAATAATTGATTGAACAATGTGTTGATTCAGTGACCATGTCAGTTTAATTTTTACAGGTTTTATCTGTGAATCCTGTATGTAATAGGTAAGGAGGACATTTTTGCATTTTCACCCATCACATGATATTTTATGGTTTTGTAATGACCTCAAGTAGAGCGATCACTTCTCATATGTGGTAACCAGTAGTCCAAAAATACTACAGTATATACTATACTTCCTCATAGAGGTTATTATTATCAGGATTAACAACTCAATGCAGAATTTAAGTATTATCCTAAAGAGATTTAGAACCAGGTCTTGTGAATCCTCTGTTTTTTTCACACAGCTTCACAAACACTCATTGTTTCAGCTTCAACAGTTCAAGCATTGATATCTGTTGAACTTTCACCCTCTTTTATGTCTGATGCAACTGATTTAAAACTCATCTTGCTCTACTAACTTATTTATCATTGTTTGTCACAGTTGTTATTTTGCCATATGGTACTAGTGGGTTTTTGTAACCATATGATGATATTCCTTTACATGTATGCATTTAGCAGATGCTTTTATTCAAAGTGACTTACAATAGAGAAACAAAAGGAATTTGTCACAGAACCAACATTCATTAAATGCAATGCAAGGTTTATTAGAAAGCTAAAGGAGGGAGCAAGCTAGAGCAGAGGAGAATGGCAGAGATGAAAAAGGAGAGGATTTAGTCTATAAAACTTTTTTTTTTCATTCCGCTGACACAACGCAACATTGTTAGTTATTTGTCCCAGTTTTCTTTCTTTCTTTATTTTACCAGGTTACAATCTCATTGAGATTAAAATCTCTTTTACAAGAGTGACCTGGCCAAGATAGCAGCTACATTAACAAAGACATACAAATCCGCATTAAAACACAGAAACACAATCAAGTATCACAACAGCAATTTACCAAAGGATAAAACACATAGTCTGTTAAAAGTAACTTACACTCGTTTAGTGATGGTAGCATAGTCAGCTTTAAGATGTTTTGTAAATTATTCCAAGTAGATAAACCATTATATTTAAAGCCTTATTTTCCTAGCTTTGTTTGAACTTGAGGATATAACAAATTATTAGAAGGAAGATTGTAGCAAACATTTGTTTTAGAAACGCAGAGAGACAAATAAGAGGGATTAGACCACAAATAGACTTATAAATAAAACAATAC